TGATACCAGCCAGGAGCACAGATGAAAATGGCAGGCCTTAGAGGATTCGCTGGAGGCTGTTGAGAACTTTCAAGGTAATCTTGGAGGGATGGACAATGAGAGGGGAGTATTATGCCAGAAGGTGCAAGGTGAAAGGTATACAACAGGTCAAATAAATGATCAAGGAATGGGAGCGGGGAAGATGGGGCAGAAGATCTGTGTGAGAGAGCCATGGGCAAATAGAGTAGCGCCATGGGCAAATAGAGTGGTGCAATGGGCAATGTGGGAAGCACCTGGAAGGGCCCCCCAGAGTCAGAGTCAGGCTATTAGAAGCCATTACATGCGATTTATTGAGTCCCTTCTATAGTCTAGACATTGCAGCTGATAAAGTAGGAACTAGAGACACAGTGAAGGGTTTCTAACCAAGAAAGAGATAATGCCTCTGAGGAAGATGATTCTAGCAGCAGTGAGCAGGACGTCCTGGCAACCAGCCGAGCCTGCTCTGTGGTGCACACCTTTGCAGGCCATCACATTCACTTTTATGGCCCATGGTAAAGACAATCATCTTTGTTTTATCAATGAAGAAATTGATGTTTGCAGAGATTCAGCAACTCGATGATGTTCATAAAACTAGTAAGTGATAAAGAGCTGGGGGCCTGAAACCAGGTCTAAGTGCAAAGCCTGTGTTTTTCTCATTATAACACCCCCCACCCCCAAACCTTGTGAAAGAAAATGAAGTCAAAACAAGCCTGAGATTGTGAGCTTGGGTATAGGAATACTTCACGACTGTGGGCAGTGGGCAGGAACTGGGAAAGGGAACCTTTCCGTAGAGGAAGACTTCTGGGTTTTTTGGTTTTGTTTATTAATTCTCCAAATCTTAAATGTGTATTCAGTGGGTTGGTATCCAAGTGAGAATATCCTGTCTATGGCTGGCAAACTGCAGGGAGAGCGGGTGAAGGCAGGATGGATGCATATTGGGAAACCATCTGCGAACAGTTGGTAGGGTTTTGGAACGTAAGAACAGACAAGCTCCTCTAGGGGCTAAGTGTTGGAATACAACACAAGGGGGACAGGGACAAAGGTCTTTTGGGTGTCCCACAGCGAATGGCAGTGGGGCAGAGAAAGGGGAGGAACAGGTCCCACCTACATGAACAGATGGTCACAGGCACACAAGGCCTCTCTGGGTGTAGGTACTGCCCAGTGCCAGCTGAGATAATTCTCCTTCTGTTCAGTTCTTGAAACTTACTCATTTTTCAAGGTGCAACTCAAATTTCCACAACCCCTATTGGAACTTAAACTTGCTCATCTCTGTAACTCTCATATGGTTAGCACTATGTTCGGCACATAATAGATGCTAAATGAATATTTGCTGAGCTGAACTAAACAATGAAAGAGAAAGTATTTGGTGACAACAGTTACTCTTTCTGAACCATATCTTCTTCATTTGTGACATGAAACAATCACTCCTAGGATTAAATGAGATATGTGGGTAAGGCATTTAGTACAGTGCCTGGAATATGATCAATCATTAACTGTAATTACTATGATTATCTGGCAGTGACCATGGAAGTAATGTGCACAATAGGAGCTTAGGGTGAAGAATGTCAGGAAAAAAGGAACGCTCAAGAGTTCCAAGGTGTTCTGTGGGTCATAGTTCTCTCTCTCTCTTGCACTCATGGTGGGGGATGTTATTAACAAAATACAAAATTCGACTGATATCCCGTGGATTTCCCCCCCAAATATATGGAGATTCTTAATAATCTAAATTTGGTCTTACAGTGGATAGTTGAAATGACCTTCAAGGATACTTGCATGATTCTAATATAAAAATTGTTGGGAATTTTGATTCCAGCCGGATAACAGGCCCACTTGCATGGTTCGGTTGTTATTGGATTCCCTAAGTAAAGGTGTGTGTACCCGGCAGTTTGGCAGCTGCTTTGGGAGGGAAATGTGGTACCCAAGAGTCCTGGAATCAGCAAGCATGCCATTGTCCAGCCTATCACAGCAGAAACCAAGACTCCCAGACACAAACCGTCCCTGTGATCAACAAAGCCGTAAATGGCAGGCCTTTCCAACAGAGAATTCTCCCGAGACCCGAGGAGGGACAAGGAGGCGGGACAAAGACCGGCATCTGCGGCACAATTGTGTGAAAAGGGACCTGGATTTTCAATGATCAGACAGTTCCCCTTTGTCACAGCGTCTCCCTCCCGGTGAGCAACTTTTTCCTCACCTTTGGGCCTGCCTGTGCACCCAAGGCCTTGAGTTTATCCACTAAAATGAGGACTCCAAGAACCGAGCCTCCTACGGAGAGCTGTAGCCCAGCTCCCTTAGGACGGGCTTCCCTGGAGGTCGGCCCAGTGGCCTCGTCGCGGCCCCTCTTCTGCCCTCCGTTGTTCAGTCCTCTTGTCAACGAGAAGCCCAACCTCTTAGGCTGTGCTCTCCGCCCCTTGCTCCCCTCCCCCATCCGCCAACCACCCCTTTTCATGGCTTAAGGGACCTTTTCTATTTGCAGAGCCTAAAGAAGCTGGTTGCCAAGGTGACAGGAGCAGGAACAGCAGGGAGCTTGCCATGGGGGAGGGGCTTTGCCCCCAAACAGCTGTCAGTGGGAGCAGTCCCAGCTGGGACTAGAGCGTTTGCCTGCTCTGGTAGGAAACAGCCCCCAGGAGAACACATTCCCCTCTGCTGTACTCCCCCCACGGCCTCCTCCCCACCGCAAGTCTCCACTGGTTACTTTCCCTGGGGGCAGCCAGCCAGCCAGCTCAAAAAATGCTCCAATAACAAACAAAAAACACTCTGCGCCACCGCCCCCCCCGCCCCCTCCCCCCGCAACACGCATGCGCAGACTCTGATCATTCCATTCACAGTGGGTTGGCTGGGCAGGAGGCCAGGAGTTACCTCCGCCTGGGGAACTGTGGAGGCCTAGGCAGGTGCTGCTCCAGGCTGCCCCACACCCCCGCATCAGGTCATAAGGGCTATTTCAGTCTTTCTGTTTGTTTGTTTGTTCCAGGGGCCCTGAGAGAAACTGCAGCGTCCCAAACCTCCCGCTGTCATCCGTTTGGGAGGTGGGGGTGGGGGAGTGGAACCATGGGGTTTACAGAGAGGAAGGGAATGGGAGAAGAAAGGAAGAATAGGAGGGGACGGTGGGAGGCAGGAACAATGCAAAGCCTACGGATTTTTGTCTCTGGGGAGAGGGTCTTTGTGGTCTGCAGCTCACAGCTGCTCCATAGAAAGTTCCGTGGAACCACTGCATGCTGCCACATATTGTTAGTCCCGGGTCTCACCTGCGTTCACCCTGACCAGGCTCAAGGGTGGAGAGCCCTCCACTAGACTCTGTAAACCCCAGGACAATCGTAGAATCCTCAGGCTCTTTGAGCTTTGTGTCAGAGACAGGAAAGGCATAGGAATCTCCAAATTATTGTAAGAATTGAGAGAGGCAAACATGGCTTGATGATTAAGAACCAGGATCTGACTCAGCCAGACGTGGATCTGGTTCCCAGTTCTGCTCTAGGTTTGCACTCCGAATGAGTAGGTAGAAGAAATGCTAACTTGCGGCGCCTGCTCTAGTCCAAGCTGCTATCAGGTCACTGTAAGAACCCCTGTCTTGACCCTCTGAGTCTCAGTTTCTTTCTCCATGAAAGGAAGACTGGACTAATCTCTGGAGGAAGCAATGCCAGGCAGAGAGAAACGCCTGGAGCCACAGGGCAGTAAGGACTCTATAGGCTCTGTAGTGACCACTGGAAGGCGGAGACCACTCCCTTGTCCTTGAAACCTCAAAAAGGCGAATAGAGACTTTAATTCAGATTCTTCCCAGCTCACTGTCACAATGCTCGATTTGTGCTTTCCTGTCTTGAATACCTTCATCCACGTTGTCTGCTGGGTAAACTGTTCATGCTTAGAGATCGTGTGCCGTTCCACCTGACCACCCTGCCTGGTGCTGGATGACCATCTGTGCTCTGGGCCCACTTACCTCATACATATTCCTAGAATAGAACTTATGAAATGGAAATAGGTAAGGAATCATATTTTGATCATCTTGGCTCATTAATAACAAACATATAGGAGGCTCTCAAGAAAAAAAAAATAGATTGGATGAGGCCTGGGGGTCAGTGGTTGTCCTAGGGATATGACCAGGGTGAATCTCCCTTTCATGCAAAGCCATGTGGTCAACCACTATATTTATTTCTGTGCTATAAAAGCTTGGTCTTGTTCCCTAGACTGACAAGTCAGGCTTCTAGGGCTTCTGGCAGGTTTTCTCATTAGAGATGGCTGACAACAGGCAGTTCTGGGAGGATTTTAGCAGGCTGGGAAAGGAGTCCGGCCCCAGGGAAGACTGATTCACCACCTTCAGAGAACTTGCCTCACAAGTAACCTGCTAGATTATATATTTTTAATCTGCTACATTAATTCTCAATTGTGACCCTCACTGGTAGCCTTTCTCGGCCCTTCTATCCAAAGATAAATAGTGTCTCTGTGTTCCTACAGTGCTTAGAGCTCATCACACTACACTGCACTGTACTTGTCTGTCTCTCCAGACTATTGAGGGCAGGTCCAGTCTCCTTTATCTCTGCATAACCAGAACTGCCTCTGTAACTGGCAAATATTAGTCAACAAAAGTCTGAGGAATGATGAGAAAACGAACTTCCTACTTCCTCATCTCCCCCGTGTTCTTACATGCCTTTGGCTGGCCCCTGTCCTTTCTGCTGACTCTTAGAGAATTTAGAAATAGTCCCACTGCCAACCTCCGCCCACTCAAGGTTAGGAGCTAGGATTGCATACTCTGAGATTCACCATTGTGCCCATTGTGAAGGACTCATTTACTCCAATGGGTGTGGCTTCCTTCTTTAAAGCTGGATTAGAAGCATGAAACAGAATCAGGAGCTGATGAACATCTCAAGGTTGGAAGAGGGGAGAGAGACACACGACTAGCATGTGCATGGGAAAAAGGAAAGTCTGAAAGTTTCCCCTGACCCATAGTCCTCCAGAGTTTTCTGGGATAGGATCCTTCTTCCTGGAGCCCTTACCTGGTGCAATGAGGGGATGGGCAGCAACAGCGGGCACCATCCGGGTGAGCCCAGCCCGGCCCTCCAAGCTCCCTGGCACACTGCTGTTGCCATCTCCTTTCTTGAGTGGCTCCACCACACTGTCAGTTAGGCCACACTTGGTACCTGCGGGGGAACCCTGAGCAGTGTTTCTGCCCTGTGATGGGGTAGGCAGAGGCTGGCTACCACCTGGCGTGGGTTTCAGGGCCAAGCTGGGCAGGACAGGCTGAGTGGGGGTAGGGCCCGAAGCTGCTGCAGCTGGTGTCTGTTGTGTTCGGAGGGTCAAGTTCTGTACCTGGAAAAGAGGGGTCTACAGGAGTCCAGAGAATGTGGGTAGGAGCAATGCCAACACACAACTAAGATAGGGAAGGAGTTAGAGACGCATCAGGAATGGCTGAACAGGATAGTGGGTTATAAAATCAGAGAGAGAAAGAGAGAGAGAATGAGTTAGGGACTGAAAGAGAAACTAGGAGCAGGTAGAGTTGCTAAAGAGGACAAGAAAGAGTGCTAGGATTGGATCTATCAGCAGAAGAAATGGAATTCTGAGAAGGGAAGACGGCCCAGTTTGGGCAGGCCCGGGCAGGCAGGCCAGGCTCTCTCCCTTCTGTGAACTCCCGCCTCCACACTATCAGGATGGGGTACATACCACTTAGAAAGAATTCCCAGTAACAGCAACACTGGAAAAGGCCAGGGCAAAACTGAAAGTTAATTGGCCAGCAAGGCCACCAGGCAAAGGATTATCTTGTCCTCCAAATAAGGTGTACACCGGGCTGGGCCTGCTTATTCAACCTGGTCCCTGGTGCCCTCTGCTGGACACACAGAGGCTGTGCCAGACTCGCATCTGACAAATCCCATAATCTTGCCACCAAGTGCTCTCCATGTGGTCCCCATTCTGTTGTTGGGGATGGGGAAGATGGGAGTGGGAGGGCGTTCCTTGCCCCCACTACCCATAATCTTTACAGCCTAGCAGTGTCTGTGTGCTCCCAGCAGAGGGTGGGGGACCCAGGACTCGTCTTCGCTCCCTCTCCCATGCCATTTTCCCTGATTCCTAGAGGTGCTAGTGTGTGAAACCAAAGTGGGATTTTCCGCTTAAAAAGCAACTACAGCAGCAGAAGTTACACTGGGGGGGGGGGGGGTGTGTGCAAAGTCCGAAGGTGGCGAAGACCACTGTTCATTGTGAGTAGCCACGCTTCCTCAGCACGCTGCTCTGGCTCCTGACCTGAGTCAGGAGTAGCTGAGGCCTTCTCAACGGGGAGCGAAGGTGGGCCGCCCTGTCTCCACCTGCTTTCCTAGGAGATCCCAGCCTTTCCAGAGTCAAAGCTCCACAGGGCTTGGGCCCATCCCCAGTATCAGTACCCCTCTACGGGGTGCCCACCCCCTGCCCTCCCATAAGCATGGAATCCTCACCTGGGCGGGGGTGGGGGGCCGGGCGGGGGAGCCAGTGCCGAGCTCAGGCTGCACAGTAGCGACGGTGGCCGTGGGCGTGAAGATGAGCTGAGGGGACAAAGGAACAGTGCCGCCTAGGCTCCTAGCTACCTGCACCAGGTTACCTGGCTGGGCCTGGAATCACAGGAAACGAGGTGCCTTTTACCTGCCCACTGTGGGCTCAGCCACAGGACAGAACAGTTTGACCAGGGAGCAGATATGGGGAAATAGGGAGGCAAGAAAGGGAAGGAGTCCAAGGGGATCCCCTGAAAATCTCAAGAGGCTGGTGGCATCCTGACCTCAGCTGGGCAGTGAAGGGGTGGTGGGGGAGAGCATTCTGGGGCTGTACCCAAGTGAGGTTTGCTGCAGAAGCCTCGCTGAGGAGTTCATCCTAGATGGGACGACATTGGCAGCATCCCAGGAAGCAGGGACCCTGGGCTGAGACAGATGCCCTAGGACCACTGTCTAGGTCTAACCCACTCCTGACCCCAGGTTGGGGTCAGAACAAGACTCAGCTCCAGAGGGGTGATTTGCCAATTTTTCAGTCGAGTTTACGGTCGTCTGTGGAAGCAGAGTGCCCGGAGCTGTGCTCGCGTCTGCTTCTCCCTCCACGGGGCGCAGGCTGTGTGATGGTCTCTCCTGACACTTCCACCCCTGCAAGTCTAATGTGGTGTCCGTGTGGACATGCTGGGGTCTGGAGAGTGTGCTTTCCCCAGGACTCCGTGAGGCTCCTGTGCTTGCTGCCCTGTGTGGGGAGGCCCTGCTTTGGGGAGGGAGGCCGCAGGCTTCGGGACTCCAGTCGGGCAGTTGTGCAGGGCAAGGGAGTGAGTACACGGAAGACAAGGCAGGTTTGGGAAGGTCACAATGTGGCAGACTTTCCCCCGGGGAAATGAAGTCTATTCTATGCTGTGTAGCTAAGAGGCTAGTCCCTGGAGATGGAGCTGCACCTCAAACAATGAACTTGGAGCCAGGGACGGAAGTGTAGGAGCAAGATGGAAAAGCTCCGAGTGTCCGATTCTGGCCACAGGAGCAAGGGAGGTAGGACGCACTGTGCTCAGGCTCGTATGTCAAGGAGCTTGGGAGAGACCTTCAGAATGGGAGAGATGAGGCTGGACTGAGCCCAGCATAGAGCCTTTAGCTGCTATTTTCCCAGGAAATTCTTTTCACTCTTCAGAACCTCTTGAGTTCCTAAGGACCTCTGCACCCCTCAGGACAGGTATAAAGGAGAGATTTTTAGGTATGTGTCCAGGGCTGATGCCATCCTAAGTACATGTGACTCAAACAAACCCACCAGATTAACAATGGATGGGGGGTGACCCTGATTAGAATGGGGACCAGCTGGGAGGGCAGTGGAGGCAGCGGCATGTCCTGAAGCTGCCACCTTCACCATCTGAGCCGGAATGCACCTATGGCCCTGGAGCACCAGCAAGGACTGTCACGGTGAGGGAAGGCCGAGTTCCCCATTTCTGTGTGTGTGTGTGTGTGTGTGTGTGTGTGTGTGTGTGTGTGTATCGATGTTTCTGTGCTTGCTTATCTTGTGTGCCTGAGTGTACAGACCATTTGGGCAAGGGCTCCTGCATTTTCTACCCTAATTAATTTCAGGGAGTGGTTTCTGATAAGAAGAGGACAATTCTGTTTCACTCTAGGAGGGGAAGGAAAGGAGGCATCATGGGTAACTTTATTTCAGCCTGGAACCCCACCTGCCCTTGTGTCATTGAGCCTGTGCAAAAGCTCTCACTCGGTCTTCCAGGTCCCCCTTCTTTATTCCACCCTTATGTCTTGTCAGCTGTCTCCTAGGCTTCTTCCCCACCCTTCTCTAATCTCCCAGCTCTCCAATTCTCTGCCTGTTTCCCCTGGCCCACCGAGCCGTGGCCCAGGCTGGGTACTCACCATCTGTGCCCTCAGATACATCTGAGCTTGGCTTGCAGTCAGGGCCGGGGAAGCTGTGTTGCCCAAGAGCACAGCCTGCTGGGCGATGCCCGAGGCTGTTGCTGAGTTGACACCCTGAGCCCGGTTGATGAGCTGGGCTGCTGCTGGGGAGGCTGCCAGACTGATCTGCAGAGAGACACAGGCAGTAGGAATGAGGCGGTTCTGTTGGTTAGCTCCATGCCCGGCATCGGTCTCTTTCTCTCCCCCTCTTCTGGCCCTTGGTGGATCCAGCCTTCTTTAAAACCATCTCTGGTCCTCGGCCCTGTATCTTCCCGCAGCACAGCCGCATCTCTGGCCTGCGTGCAGAGCTGCCGGGAGGATCCAATGGCGAGAGAACTGAGCTACGGACAGAGAGCCTTGGCACTGGAAAGATGACAGGGACTTACTACATGTAAGGATTAGGAAGAGACATGTACTTTATTTCTGGCAAGAGTAACAGATTCCTGCCAGGATTCTCCATGGCTAAGGATGCACCACAACTGGGTCTTTGGCAAGAAGGAAGGAGCTGGTCCTAGAGCTGTGGGCTCTGCCCGCTGCACCCCATCCTACTCACCGAGGACGACTGGGCTGGGGCCTGTGCGGACACACTGCTGCCCGAAGTGCTCCCTTGTCTGTTGGCCACCAGGCTTGCCTAGAAAAGAACAGTTCTAATCACCAGAGTCCCAGATCTCCCCTCATCACACCCCAGGCCCTCAGCTGCCACGGGAGTACTACAGGGCAGTGGTATGGAGTCCACCCCCCATTCTGTCTCATCTGTGTGACCTTAAGCAAGTGCCTCAGTATCCTCTTTAATAAAGTGGGGATAATAACAGTGTCTGCCTTGTAGGACTGCTAAAAGGACTGCACAAGGCAAAGCATATACATGCAAGCATTTACATTTTCTTTCTTTTTTTGTTTTTGGTATGTGCCCCTAGTGGGAACTGAACCCAGGACTCTCTGGTCCGCAGGCCGACGCTCAACTGCTGAGCCAAACTGGCCAGGGCAGCATTAACATTTTCAGCTATGGTTATTAGCAGGTTCCCAGCTCTCTTAGCCCTCCATTCCTCCCCTCTATCATATCTGGCCCCATGTGGAGCAGCCACACTGTCTGGGATGTGGAGCCTACCCTCTCCCCTTGGCCAGCTCCTGCCACCCTTCAAGTGTAGCATCAATGTTACTCCAGCAGAGAGGTCTTCCTTGGCCACCCAATCTAAGGTCTTCCTTGCTATTCACTCATAGCGGTCTGCTCTTCTCTTTCACAGAGCTTATCACAACTGAGATGTTTCCATATTTTGTTTCCTTGTCTGTTGGGGTTTCAGTTTACTGGCTGTCTCCCCAGTATAAGCTCTAAGAAGATAGGGTCCACAGTACACTCAGGGCTTGACATAACTTTGGCATATAGTAGGTGCATTCAAATTCGTGTTGAATGAATGAATGAATGAATGATGAGTTTTTCTCAGGCACTGATGGCAGACAGGCAAGCTGAGTGGGCAATGGCCTTTGAGGACCTCTTTGATCCTCAGTCCTGTCCCTGAGGTGCAGTGGCATGGTGAGGAAGGCCCCCTCCAGCTGCTCTGCTCATGAGCTGTGTGACCTTGGGCCAGGTGTGCAGAACCTCTTTCCTCATCTGTCAGAGGATGCCGATGACACTCGCACCTACTTCACAGGGTTCTGTGAGGGTCAGGGAGAGAATGCACAGAGCACGCGTGCAGGGCCCGCTTCTCTTACTTCCGCAGCTACCGCGACCCAGGGTGGCACCAGAGGTGCCCCACCCTCTCATGCTTACCTGCTGCACAGCCGCCAGGCTCTGGAGCTGGGCGCTGCTGAGGTGCTGCTGCTGCAGTGCGGCCGTCTGCAGCATGAGGTGCTGCTGCTGCGCGGCGTACATCTGCTGCAGGTACTGGGCCGCCGTGCCGGGCTGCCTGTGCAGGGCCTGCTGGATCACCTGCGGGGGTGGGGGGTGGGGGCAGTGCTCTCAGCAGCCATGCCACTCACCTGCTGCAGACCCACCCCTTCTGCAACACCATCTTCCCCCTATGGCTCAGAGGACACCAGGTCTGCGACCCCACCACACCCATCACCTCGCAGGGAGGCGAGGAAGGCATCTGTGCCTTGTCTACTTTGCATCTCTTCAGCACGCATGCTCAGAACCGTCTGCCCTGTGTTGGCTGCCCCCCTGACGTCAAGGCAGCCCACCACCGCTATGACTCACTCTCAGGGTGGTGGGGAGGCTGAGGGAGACAGAAGTCCTTTGAGTCTCCAGTGACACTGTGTCCCATGCCAATGACACTCCCCTTCCCGCCATTCTTCAGCCTCAGATTAGGGTGACTGGAACACGGGGAAGATGATGGCAGGGGGAACCCAAGCTCAACAAGGCAGAGAGAGGGAAAGGGGTGGGAAGAAAAAGACAGCTCACTCACAAGGTGGGGGTGCTATTGCAGCTTAGGCAACACACCAGCCAACTCAAACCCCACCCTGCGGGGCGGGGGCAGACTTGAACTGCCTCTGAGGGCCTGCTCCTAGCTGTCTGGAAAGTCCGACCAGTCCCTTTGAAGAAGGCCCCCTGGGGCTTGTAGAGCAGGCCAATGCCACAGGGGTGATGCATTTCTCTCTTCTTCCTCCCCTCCCTCTCTCCATCGCTCCCTCTGAGCCACCGGCTCCCACTGCCTGGCCTTACTGCCATTCCCTTTCCCGGACGGGACTTGGGAAACAACAAAAGGCTACTCTGTTTCCCTCCTACTCTTCACTCTGTCCCTCAACACCTGTCCCCACCCCTTGGAACAAAGAAAAGCATGCTTCCCCCAGCCCTGAATCCTCTGTCTTCTCATGAGCCGCAGAAACGTTTCTTTTCCCTCTCTTCACCTGGTCACCCTCCCTCCATCTCCTCCCAACTTGAGCTCTGGCCAGGCCTTGGCCCACTTCCTGCCCTCAGTCTGCTGAATCCCTGGCCGCAGGGCTGCTCCCGACCCTGGGTCCTGCGCCCAGCAAGGGGGCCTCCAGCCTGGACTTCTCCACGTCTCGTGGTTTCTAGGCCTGGTGGTCTAGTGCAAAACAATTGCTGGGCTCAGATTCAGGGTTCTGTGAAAACTGGCGACTTCACAGATTCTGCCTGGGCTCTGGGGTCTCCCCAGATAGCCCGACCCCATCCAGGGCTTCCACACCCTTTCTTCTGAGCACCCTCCCCTTGGAAGGGCCCGGTTTACATGAGCTCAGTTCTCTTTATTCCCGTTCTCCCCAGAATCCTTTCCTCTTATTCTCTTTACCTAAGCCTCTTTGTTTTCCTTAGGCTCAAGAAAGCACCTCCCAGCAGTCCCAGCAGACTCTTCCTCCCCAGCGGATGTCAGCGGGGAAGTGGCTTTGGCACAGAACACAACCGTGGCTCATGCCATCTGCCAGAGCAGAAACCCCAAATCCCTGTTGCCGAGAGTTGTGCTGAGGGGCAGAAGGAGGGCACATCCTAATGTCAGCTGCTAGAAACTAGAGCTAAAATACTCCTGTGCCAAGGGACCAGGGGAAGAGGCTGGGCAGCAAGGATGGGTACAGAAAACATGATTTGAAGTGTGAAGCATCCTCCTGGCGAGGCCTGGAGCTGGTCAAGGATTCAATCTGAGCTCAGCTGACTCTCACCTGCACGGTCTGCCGGTCAGGAATGCCACTGTACACAGAAATCTGGGGCCCAGAGGGGCGACCACTTCCACCATTGCTGCTACTGACCCCGCTGGCACTGCTGGTGACACTGGCGCTGCTAGATGTGTGGGGGACCGGCAGCTCATTCTCCATGGCCTGGAGGGTGGCCCAGCTGGGTTCAGATGGCAGAAGAGCAGGCAGATGCTGGGAGGGAAAGGGCAGAAGTGAGAGGCTGGAACACTTACTAGAGCAGGCGCACATGTGCAAGAGTTTCCGCTCAGCCTGTGGGGGACGACTTCTGAACTGAGCCCGGGCATAGCTGTCATCAGGAGGACAGGGCAGGTGTGTTCACTAGGTGAGATCTGAAATCAGGTCTGCCTGATCCTAAAGTCTGTGACCTGTTCATTCTGCTCGAGGAAGTAACACTGGCAGAGGAGGCGAATTTCCTAGGACGGTCTTATTGGGATCCGCTCTCACTCCATCCACCTTTTTATCCTCGGGATGGAGATACCGAACATCAGAGAACTAGTCATTTATCTCTGTTTATACAGCAGGCCATTGAAAGAAATGGGATTAAAAATCTAGACAGAACAGAATGAAAGAAAGAGTCAAATAAGGAGGCAAGAAAATAAACTGAAGTGTTGACTTGTTTTGAAAGCCGGAAGAGCTTGGAGTATGTTTAGAGTCTCTGTTTTCTTTATGAAGTACTTGCTGAGTGCTCTCTGATCATTTGAGTAGGGCTGAGTAGGGCACTAGGTTGAGTAATTTGGTTAAAATCACAGGCTTTGGAATGAGAAAGACTTGGGTTTGCATCCTGGCTCTGCCACTCACTAGCTGGGAGACCTTGGCCTGTCACACGTCTCTAACCTTCTGTCTCTTAACTGTGAGGTGCAAGATCGTATGGATTATTGGGAGAATAAAGCAAAATAATGATGCAAAGTGCTTAGCAGAGGGTCAGGATTATACCAATTGCGTCAGAAGCACTGGCTGTTGTGTGGTTGGTTCCCACTAGCCAGTTCTAACCAATTCTCTCCCACCGTGGCAATGGCAGAGCTCCGTGGCATCTTGCACAGTCACTAAGGAGTGCCAGAAATTCCTCAGGGCCATCCTGTGGTCTGGATCCAGACTGGAGATCACACAGTCCTGTGAGGCAATGATTGGCTTTGGAGAGGGGCTGGGGGGAAGGAAGGGGAGATGAGAAAGCATACCCAGGTCTGAGTTCAAGTTCCTCTTTTTTTCTTCTTTCAAGCTATTTCTAAAATCCTCATTTCCATATGTAAGCTTTCTTCCTACCTATTCCTTCCTTCATCAGAAAACAACACTGTCACCCTGGCCAGTGTGGCACAGTTGGTTGGAGCATCGTCCCGTGCACCAAAAGGTCGTGGGTTCGATTCCCAGTCAGGGCACATGCTCAGGTTGTGGGTTTGATCCCTGGTCAGGGTGCATATGGGAGGTAACCAATCGATGTTTCATTCACATCAATGTTTCTCTCTCTCTCCCTCTTTCCCTCTCCCTTCCTTTCTCTCTAAAACCAAGAAAAACATATCCTAAAAAATGAACAAACAAAAAAATCACGTCATCGCATCACACACATCAGTTCACTTCCTGTAGGTTATACCAATTCAATAAATGAAGAAAATAATATGATTTTTTTCACACTAATGAGAACATTGATTAGGCAGCGGTTCTCAAACTGTGGGTCATGACCCCTTTGAGGGTCAAACGACCCTTTCACAGGGGTCGCCTAAGACTATCGGAAAACACATATTTCCGATGGTCTTAGGAACGGAGACACCGCTCCTCAATCCGTCTCCAGGCGGGTCCGCCCACGTGTAGATCTGCCCACATACAACATGAGGAGCTGTATTAAAGGGTCGCAGCATTAGGAAGGTTGAGAACCACTGGATTAGTGCAAAGAACTAATGTCATTCATGTTCTGTGGTCATCTCCCCAAAGCTGCTCAGTTTGGAGTTGTCAACCTTCATCAAGGCTACCTTCTTCAGACTGGGTGGATTTCAGCTTGGGCTAAAGTGTGGATGAAGATCAAAAGACAGAAATGCTGGGGTAGGGACCTCTGGGCCACTCCCAGCTGGCCGTCGGCAAGTTGAAGTTCAGAGGCCTGTGGCCTCCCAGGCAGCACCCCAGCTTGTGAAGGGCGCTCACGACCCGGTCCCTCGGTGGTTTCCCTCACGTTTGTATTTCTGCTTTCACTGCCGCAGGGCAGGGCCCTTGTCCTGGAGTGCACCCCGTTCTGGGCCTCACTGTGGTGACTCACTTGCTAAGGGTTCTGAAGGTGATAATGATGATGCCGGAATCGATGAAACATGCTAAAATCCACCTCATCTTATGTTCTAGGGAGGGGAGGGGAGGTTGGATAGAAAGTGGTAGAAGGCATGACTCCAGACCTTGCAGAATGGCCAAATTAGTTGGAGAGATGAGGCTCAGCGGAAGTGTTAAGTATCACTAGGCAACGCGTCTGTAAATGCAAGTTATGTTCAAACATGGAATCCCCAGGGTCTCCTGTGCGTTAAATGTCTTGCCTCTGTTTCCCAAAATGCTGACCAGAATTGGGGTTCAGTACTTGCTCTCATCCCACCCTAGGAAATCTTAACTGAAGTGCGTGGACTCTCCTCCAGGGGCATGAACACCAAGGCGCCCTCGGAAACCTACTGGACACGTGGTTTAGCCAACCGGGGGCTGAGGTTTGCCCTGAGGAGGAATTTGAAGCTGCCATACGTGACTTCTCACTGATCTCCCAGGGGAAGGAAACTTGGGTAGAAAAAGAATTAGGAAGCATGGAGATATATATATAATATATATCAGCTTCAAATGTTTTCCAGTACAGTTCCCCTCTTTGAACCAAGCGTTCAGGCCCCTCACTCCCACCTTCCATCTGCCTCACAGCTCTGGTCTGGGAGGGTTGGGAGCCTCCGTGAGGGCTACTGAGGAATCTGCGGCCTCTCATTATGCCCTAACCCTGTGTCCCCACATTAGAAAGTCTGAACCCTTCAACTTTCTTAGTGTCTAGGCTGCAAGCATTTTACACACCTCTTTTCAATTTCCTTTTAATTCCCACTCTTACTCCTCCCTTCTCCTCCTAACAAGTTCCTTATTTCCTCCCCAAGGCCACCCATCCCTGCGGACTCCCACTATGAACCACAGCCAAATCTGATTAATGGCTAACATCCCGAACTGGAAATCTGCTTTTCTCCGGGTTCCAGCTCACTGTGTGGTTTTGTGTGAGGCCAGGCTCTGAAGGCTGTGATTCTGACTTGAGTCAATTTCCCCTCCCAGTCGCAGGGGACCACTCTGAATGATGTGCTGACTGTAACCGGCTTGGCTAGTGATCTTATTACAGGTCTCTGCCGCCCACAGGGCCTGAGACCGGCAGCTGGAGGAATGCTGATGGTTCTGCCCTCCCAGGAGCCGCCAAGTCTAGGGAACACTAGGCCTTTGTCCCAGGGTCAGGGAAATCCATTTGCTGCGGATTACAGCTGTGACAGAGGTTCCAGGGAAGCAAAGACACTGAAAACAGAGCTCTCCAAATGGGCTTAAAGCCCTGGAGTGAAGCGGGGTGGGGTTCTTCCTAATGCAATGGGAGACTGACAGGAAATGAGGTCTAGTCTGCCCCGCAGGGCTGCGGGTACTGTCATCCCTGCAGTGGCGTGCCCATGGAGACCGGAAAGGCAGGGTGATGGGGTTGCTTTGCCATGGCCCTGCCTCTCCTCTTGGTTGCTTCTCTGTCCAAGGTTTACGTCAAATAACAGTAGTGTTCAGACTCCCTAGGCTTAGAGGCCAGAGGGGAGACCACCGTACACCCTCAGTTGCTGGACAAACACAAGTATCCTGATTTGCTCCGATCGAATTGTGCCTTTGGCAGCTGTCTGAGGCTACAGACACACTGGGAACAGTCCAACTGGATTCAGCTCAAACCCCCTCAAAAAGTTCACCCTTTCCCCAATCCTCTGCTTGTTGCCTCTTTTAGTGTCATTAGAAACCAAAGTAAACAGACGAGGGCCAACAAAGACAGAGATGAAGGAAGAGAAGTTAAAACTGACCGCGCAGTCCTACCAGTCAACATGGATCGATTTCATTGGGAATAGAACGCCACACGTTTACATGGATGAACTTTTTCTGAAACCTCCTTGTTTTCTTCGTAATTTATAGAAGGCAGTTTCTATAAACTGGTTGCTGGTTGGTTGAAGAATGTGGAGAGGAAGAAGGAGGCCTTGATCCCTTTTGGCAGGAACATCTAGGTAAAGCCATGTCATGCAAATGTGGAGGGTTTAGGGACTGGGACTCGGCGGCTTTGGTCTCATTGCTCTGGGACAGCACAACTATACAGTCTGTCTTTCTCTAAAAGGGCCAGATAGAAAATATTTTGGGCTTTGCAAGCATATGGTCTCTGCCATGACTACTCAACTCTGCTGGGCAAACATAACCATAAACAAGTCTTAAGTGGGGTGTGGCTGTGTTTCAATAAAACATGAGTTACAAAAAAACACGGTTGGCTGGTTTTGGCCCGTGGGCTGTAGTTTACCGGACCCCTGTCTGCGGCAAGCCCATTTTTACACATCAGCCACATGGCTGACTGTGTACCTACAGCTTATTAGCAGCAAGGGCTTTTGTGTTATAAAGACCTGGGTTCAAATTCTAACGACTAGCTGAGTTTCCTTGAGCAAATTATGTTCTTTTGGGCTCAGTTTCTTCAGCAGTAAAATGAGATCCCATCTCCCTCGAGGTGGGGGTGGGGGAGTTCTATGGATTGAATGAGATGTCTGTGGAGCACTGAGGACAACACTTAGCAAATAGCAAGCATGTGATAAATGGCAAGGGTGTGAGTCCAGTCTGGGATTTAGAAAATGATTCCTCTAACCACAGTAAATAGTGAGGATCCTATAAGTTATTTTTCAACATTGGTCACAGTCACACTTAAAAATATTTTTATACAGATCCGTTGTCTGTTTTACCTATCTAAATTTTGGTCTTTTTTTTTCCCAGGGCCAGCTTTTCCAGAAGGCCCTTTAGGAACATAAGATTTAAGGAGAGTCAGTCTCTAGACAGTGATGAAGATGCTCCCGAGCCAAACTGCCTGGGCTCAAACCTCAGCTTCCTCGTTTTGTGACTCTGAGCGAGTTACTAAATCTCTAGGC